TCCACGCATTTAAAAAAATGTCCCTTATGGGCGAGAATAAAATGATTCTAAGATCCCAAAGATCAAGAAATGGTTTAGCATGCTTTGGCTTGTCTTAGTCATTAAATATCTTAAGGTAAGCAATCCAATTGCTAATAGCTCCAAGTTACTCTCGGTTTGATAAAATGTCGCATCTAATGCATTCTTGACATTTTATCTCTTTTGCCACGACATCTAAGGACTCTTTACTGATATCATTGAGCTTAATCAAGACAACTTGTATACCTAGTATACCTTACGTTCCTAGGGAAGTAGTGATGCCTCGCTTTGGCGTAATCCATCACGTACGGCATTAGTTCGGTAAGTGTTGTTCTTGGAACGACAAATTTTAGCTCAACATTATTAAGGGACCTAGGGTTTCTATGTTGGTTGATTAAGTGAACTTAACTAATCATCGCAACATAATAGAAATCCTAGACATGCATCTAGCAATCATATATAATAACAATATATAAGGCATAAAAATAGATGCATTTGGCAACTAGCATGACCCCTTGAAATCTCCAAATTCCATGGGTCTTCATCTTGGCTCGTGTTCGTCGAAACGCCGTCTTGAGACATCTTGGCCAAAATAAAATAAAAGAAGCTAGCTAGAACGACTAAGATTAATCTAATAGTACAAAAATACTTAACGGTTCGCAGACCGTATTTAGATTTACAAAAATACATAATGGAACGCAGTCCGTATTTTCTATCCTAGTCGAGCCCCACTAGTTGCCATTTTCAAAGAACCTGTTTGGAAAACAATTCTTCCATTCACCCATTCACTATTTGTGAATGGCCCATGCAATTTTATGAAATACATAATTAAACACGCAAAACTAGTAACTAACTTAGGTGGTTAATCCAATTAACGCGCCTAATTAAACTAGTCAAAGTGGTTTAATCCATTATTTCTAAACGCAAAATGCTTACGCACTTAATTAAGCTCCCACTAAATTCCGCAACCATACTTAATTAATCCGATTAATTAAGTCGGCATAACCCATAATTTGTCAAAATTTTGCAAAATCGAAAATCGAGGTTTTTAGCCTCGTTAAAATAATTACCAAAAATATTTTAAAGACGGGATAATGCAAAAATCATAGCTCAAACATTAAGGAAAACCACCCAACAAAACCCTTGGTGGGTGCGCACCATGGCTGCTAGGCAGCCCATGGCATGGCGCCATGGTGCGTGGGTGAGGCTTGCTGTGCTCAGCAAGCAGTGCTACTAGCGCCAGCTGCCTGCTAGCATGCTGCACATGCTGGCTTGCGAGCATCTGGCCTGCTGGGCAGGCGCCTCTTGATGCTCGTGGTGCGCTGGGCTATGGCTTGCTGCCCTGCTGCCCAGCAACATCCCTCGCAAGCCAGCCCCAGCCACTGTCCACGCACAACAGTCCATGCCTCCCCGCCACACAAAGGCGCACAACAGCATCATGGCTCACCCTTGTGTGCACCACAGGCAGCCACATGTGGGCTGCTAGGCAGCCCGGCTAGCCTTGGTGGCACTTGGGTGTTTTGCCTTGATTTGCGTGTTATGACTCGGGATTTTAATCCCGATTTACGTGTGACATGAATTAATTCTAAATTACATTTTAGAATCAATTTGAGGAAAAATAAAATAAAATTAAGTCTAACTTAAATAAATTTATTTTATTGGTGCACAAGCCTAAATTATCTAAAATTTCAATTTTGAACAAAATTAGGTCTAACTTTATGCTTAAAATAAAATGAGCTATGTTCAAAATTAATCTTGCTAATATGCAAATTAATAATGTATTTGACAAATGGGAGTTGGAAAAATAAATTAACCATCCAATGATAAAATTTTCCAACTTGCATACTTGTGTAAAATACCAAGATTACATCTTCCAATATGAAGATTAATCAAATTTTACTCACAAGTAATTGAACTTAATGGATTTTAATCAACCAAACATGAAAAAATCCAAACTTTGTTCAACATGGAATTTAGGGTTAGGGTTCCAATCATTTAAACCTTTAAAGATTAGAACTTTACCATTATTTGGGAACTTAAAATACAAAATCACAACAAGTTTTCACACTTTATTACAATTTATTTGCAAAATTTGTGGAAAACAAGTTTGTGTGAAAAATTGGTATATCAACTTAAGCACTAATAAAAACTCCATTATTATGCTCAAGGATATTTTAAAACCAGTAGATTAGTGATGCAAATGTGCATTTAATCTAACCTTGTAATGCTTGCATTAATCAAGGCTTAAAAAGAATTAAAATTTTCGTTGAAAAACGAAAACCCCAGAAAAATTGGGTTTCTGGTTCGAATTTGGCTTCTGGACAACCCTAAAAGAATTGAAACAGTTCCAGAATGTCGATTCCACCCAAAAATCACTATTTTTGAGCCAAAATTTGGGTTCGACAGCCAAATCGAAAATAAAATCGAGTTTTAAAAATAATTAAAACGAGCATCTAATCTAATTAGATGAACATGAACCAGAAAATTAAATTCTCTTAAAACACCTTAATTAAAAAAAATTGCAAGAATTAAAAAGAAGCGTGGCTCCGATACCGCTGTAGGGTTTCGTAGTGACCCGACACTACGCGGAAGGAAACCCACCAAGACCCGCCCCTTAATTAAATCAATTAACAAGCATAATAAACTTAATTAAACAAGATTAAGAACAATAATTATTCCTTTGACGCGTTCTTCGCTCCCAAAGAGCTCTTACTTAAAAATCCCGAAAGGACGAGATCTCCGACGGATCGTACCCTCGACCCGACCCGAGCGTCCTAAGTCTTGAAGGTTAGTCATGACCCGGACAAAATAACTATGAGTTTTACGAATCAAAGGTTTACTCTTTCTTAGAGTTGCCTTTTGAATTCCACTCAAGGTTGTTCATTCCCAATACCAAAGCATGGTATTTATAGGGAAATGAACCCTTGGTTTTTCATCCACCACCAATGTGGGAGAATGAATACTTTTGCTAATTCATTTATTTCTAAAATAAATTAATAAACAAATCCAATCACTATGCAACAAGTGTCAAAGGGAGAGAGAAGGTTAGGTGAGGATCATGGAGGGGTGGGGGGACCATTGCCTTGCTCCCCAAGGCTTTTCCAAAGCCTTGGTCCCCACCCTAAAAAAACCACCTCACCAAAAGGGCTGCTGGGCTGCTGCCAGCTAGCACGCCAGCTAGTAGTGCCAGCCAGCCAAGCCAGCCAGCACCAGCCTGCCCAGCAGCCTCGCATGCTTGGTGCTAGGCGCTGCAGCTGCCCAGTGCTAGGCGCTGGTGCGTGCCAATGCTAGGCGCTAGTGCTGCCCAGTGCTAGGCGCTGGTGCATGCCAGTGCTAGGCGCTTGTGCGTGCTGGCGCTGGTGCTGCCTCTGGCATCCCATGCACCACACGCATCCACGCTTCACCCTTCACAGATGCTCGCACACCCAGCATGCGTGCTGCTAGCTAGCCACGCATGTTGGCCCCCTTTGCCTCGCACACCACGCATACACCTTTGCAGCATCTCCTGCACACGCATGCCCACGCATCACACATCAGCCTTGGTGCGTGGTGATGCTGGGCTGCTGTGCGTGGCCTAGCACTGTGCTGGCGCCCAGGCCCTCGCATATGCATGATGCTATGCTTGGTGCTGCCATGCGAAGGCTAGCACACAAGTCAGCACTCATGCTGCGCCAGTGCTAGGCAGGCACCCATGCTAGAACTTGGTGCCTGCGATGGTGCTGCCATGCCAGGCATGCACGCACGCAACACCCACCCAGTGCCTGCGATGGTGCGCCTGGTGCCTGCTATGGGTTGCTAGGTGCGCCTGGTGCGCCTATTGCTCGCGATAGGCTGCCAGGCCGCGCCTAGGCTGCGATAGTGCCTAGCATACCATGGTGCGCCCAGTACACACATGGTGCGCCTAGGCTTGCAACGAGCTAGCCTAGCCTAGCTACGGCTACACTCATACTTGTTGCTTGTGATTTTGCGACGTTCGGTCTCGACGCCCTTGGATCGATTTCCGACGTCTGTATTCGTAAAACTCTGCTGACTCATTAAATCCTTTCGGATTAGTTCGTCGTCTCGGATCGGTGATTCGATTGGGTTCGACCCGAAGGGTTCAGTTAAGATTAAGCTATAATATCAATTGTACCTCGATACACTTGTTGGAAGGACACCATTCCTTTCACAGGCGGTCATTGACATGAAGTCACCTCGCACTATCCAAGAAGTTCAGAAGTTAAGAGGTTGCCTGGCGGCATTGGGGAGATTCCTCAGCTGGTCAAGTGACACATGACTCTAGTTTTTTCCAAGCAATCAGAAAAAATGACTATGTTTGAATGGGGGGATGATTATGAGGCGGCCTTTCAAAAATTGAAAGAACACTTACACTCTTTGCCAAGGCTTGTTAGCCCTCTGCCCAAAGAAACGCTTTACATGTATTTAGCCGTCTCAGGTCATGCCCTTAGTACCGTTCTTCGTGCTGAAAGAGACGGCTACTTCTAGTCTATTTCATTAGTCATGTTCTTTGAAATGCTGAACTACGGTACCCAATAGTTGAAAAAGTTGGCCTTGCTCTTTTCATGGCAGTCAAGAAGTTGAAACCATACTTCTTGGCACATCCGTCCGGTAGTGGTCTACACAGATCAACCTCTCAAGCGGCCAATGACAACTTTGGAGTCATCCGGCCAAATGCTCAAATAGGCTATTGAAATGTAAAGTCTTGAAATCTCTTTCGAACCAAGGAAGGCAATGAAGGGACAAGCATTAGCCGACTTCATTATCGAAATGACAAGGCCGACTGAGCTGGAGAATCTTGAGCAGGTTTGGAAACTGTATGTAGATGGGAACTCTACTATGAACGGCTGTGGTGCAGGAATTATATGTTAGTCTCCTAAAGGGGACAAGTATGAATATGCACTACGGTTCAAGTTCCAGGCCTCAAATAATGAGGCGGAATATGAAGCCCTGCTAGTCGGCATCCGCATATGCAAGGCGGCAGGGACAAGAAAGATTGACGACTGCTCAGATTCACAGTTGCACTAGTAGAAAAAATGAAATAGGCACCCCCCTTAGCACCGGTTCTTGAAAATTGGTGCCAAAAGAAATGGGCGGGATTTACAAATTTGATTTTGACACCGGTTCGCCTTAAACAGGTGCCAACTATGGTAATTAGAAACGGTTCAAACCGGTGCGAATTAAAAAAGAAAAAAAAAAGTATAAAGGTATGCGTTACTCTGCTTCTTCTTCTTTCTTTGTTTCCCCTTGCTTTTCATTTTCGATTTTCCCTAACTCTCGTTTTTGCCCTTCTCTTAGCTTCGACCACCTCTGAAGTTCCACCTTTCTCCATATCTCTCCTCCATTACGCGTGCTCGTAGTTCTCCATTGAAGCGCATTCTGAGCTTTGTCCATATCATTCCTCCACTATGCGTACTATTAGTTCTCCATTAAAGCGGATTCGAGCTTTCTCACCTCCATTGAAGCAGCTTCGAGGTAAGAATGTGTTTTTGTCCTTTTTAGATTATCGATTTCAGTTTTCGCAATCTAGGGTTTGTTATTGATTTGAAATTCGAATTTAGGGTTAGTTCTTGTAAACTAGGGTCAGGGAAAGGGGTGGAGGTTTCGGGTGGGGAAAGGGATGGGAGTTTAGGTTGGTTTCGGGTTGGGGAATTTAAGTTTTGGGCGGTTTCGTTGGTGGGGCTAGGGCGGGAAGTCTATTGCGCTCATGTGGCTCTGGAAAGAGGGTGGTTTCGGTGGTGGTGCAGGGGGGTGGCTATCGGGGCTGGGCTGGGGAGTGGCTGTCAGGCTGGGTGGGGAATTGTTTAATTAATTTTTTTGATTTTAGGGTTTTTGAATTTTAATTAGATAATTGAATTTATTTTAGTTTTTGGGGTTTCATTATTGTATTATCGAAGTTAATATGTTGATTTTAAGGATTTTTGAATTCAAATCAAATGGGTAAGCAATTTAATTTTTAGTTTAAATTTAAATTTTATTTATTTGTAATTTAATGTAATTGAGATTGGATAAAATCAGTTTTTTAGTGGTAATTTGATGAAATTAGGATGAAATCAGTTTTAAGAGTTGATGTTCGAGTTCTTATTGTTTGGGTATTGTTTACTTGTTCTTGTTAGAATTGGTGTTCGGATGTTGTTTACTTGTTGTTTGAATTGGTGTTCGGGTGGGGATGTTGTTTACTTGTTATTCGAATTGGTGTTGGGGCGTTGTTTACTTGTTCGAATTGGTTTTGAGGTGTTGTTGGATTGTTGTTGTTCGAATTGTTGTTTGATTTGGTCTTGGTATTGTTGTTGTACTTGGATTGAATTGAATTGTTTGAGTTGGATTGAACTGAGTTGAATTGTTTGAGTTGGATTAATTTGATAAAAATGGTACCACTTTTTGATTGTAATACTAATCATCGTTAAGCTGCAACTTTATGGGTGTATCATATACGTCATGCTTTAGTGGGAATAAATGATATTAGTGTGGGTTGATCTCTAAAAATAGTAGTAGATTTCATCGCAATATTTTCTTATCAACAAATAGGAGTTGATGTTGATGTGTGGGTGGCTATGTGCATAAATACATGGCAAAGTATGGAACAACGTTACCAAATTGGCTAGTATGAGATTGGATATGTGTATTCTATTCACTACTGAGTATTGTCAATTTAGGCATAATGTACCAAATTCATGTTTAAATGTTCCGTTCTCAATTCAGGGGGGGTAAGGAATTAGGTAATGTGTATGCCTGGGTTTGAAGGAACATAAAGTAGAATTGTTCACTGTTATTTGGCCAATATATCTCGTAGTTTGTATAGAATGGTTTCTATTAAAGGGGGTTTACGTTCTGATTTTAAAGTTTGTATGGGGCTTGTAAGAAATAAATTAGAAGATGAGTTTCCTTTCATTTATTTTGGGATTTATTTTAACAGGAGAACGTGCCTGCTTGTGCATGCTTTTTGTTTTATCACAAGAAAGTGGTTGATGGATTAAACTATTGATGCATACTTGGCAAGCATAGTCTGAATTATTTTTGGAAAGAGAACACACAAATGTTGAGATGTGTGAGTTGTGTGCAGGTAAAGACACTTATGAAGGATCATTTAAATGGAAAATCAGGAGGATCAAGTGAAATGTCGTCTGAGTCCAGTGCATCAGTTGAACTGAACTCACGTAACTTTGATGATTTAGTACTGAGTACAGAAAGGAGAGCATTGCTTACAGAAAGGAGTCATCTTGAAAGCTATTCTTATTGTTTATGTGGTGATTAATGATTTTTTTGTCAGTGGAACCCTTAGTTTTCCATTAACATTTACGCGTTTGTAATATGCATCTCCATTTTAGTAACATGAATAATGTGGTGTTTATACTAATTTTGGTTCTTACCTGTTTTCGTTGTCAACCATCTGATGTAGTTTGTTTGTGTTGCAAAAACGTTATTTCTTTACCAATGACTCTATGAGAGGGATACACTCTTCTACAGTCTTAATTGTGTGATTAATCTGTTATTTTTTTACTGTTGTGCTTCCACTTCATTGATTTGTTGTTTAGGCTGTTTTCACTTTTCATTAAGACTTCTTTGACCTGTTGTCCTACTTAGACTGTACATTCTGGAATCATTGCTGACTTGAAACTCTCAACAGCAGATGTAAGTTGCTTTGTTTATGCTTTCTAATCTTAATTATGGAGTACTTTGTATATCTTAGTTAGTCTTTTGTAAGTATCACGGAGTAGCTTCTTGCCTTCTACTTTGATGGCCTTATGTTTTTCTGCAGTATTCCCTCTTTAGCTGGTTCGTCGTCCATTTGAGACGATCTTAGTAATCTGAAGTGGCTTATAAAAATCTCTCTAAGTAAGAACAAGATTCTCACAGCTGGTACATTTCTGATCTATAATTTGGTGTATGAAAACCATATGAGGTATCAAAGTAAGAATATGAAAACCATATTCTTGAGCAGTCTGATGACCGTCTTTGTGTTCTTACTTATACTGGTTGTTGCTGGATATGTTGTGGTCTTCCAGTTGTTTTTCCTTTCACCTGTTTTATATATAGTCTTCTCGGTAACTCTTTCTTAACTTCCCACATGACTGCCTTTGACATTCTCAAATATGCTTCTTAGTAAGTAGCAGATGTGAGAGTTTAAGAAAAATCTTACTTGTTAGAAGCCAACATCAATTTTAATAGATTTTTTTTTAATAGATTTTTTTCAAATTTTTTAATAGATTTTGATTGTATTCTAGAAGCCGACATCATATATGGGACTATCTCTTGTATTTGAGTTGGATGCCTTCTCTCAGGGTCTCAGGGATGCCTGTCCCGAGCATCTTGCTTGCTTTTAAGGGTCACAATTTTTGGTGCACCTGGGATACAAGTTCTGATTTTAGAGTGGAACAGAAAATTGATTATTGTATAGTAAGTCACATAAAAATGGCTACCTTTTTAATATTTTTGTCTAGAAAATAATTTAAAAAGGAATAGGTTTTTGCAAAGCTTTACTTTGGTCAGCTGGGTAATGCATAAGCTGAAGTTAAAGTTCTATGACACCCTATTATTTATTTCGATGGGAGTTGTTATTGAAACAGTCACAATTTGGAAAAAAAAAAAAGCCCAATAGCATGTTTGTTTTGTCTAAATTCAAGAGGCAAATATTGTTGGGAAAATTTTTGATAGTATATGTGGGAACTTTGACAGGATATGTTTCAACAGTATATTAAAACATTTGAAGGTATATATTTAGACCCTAGATAGGAATTAAGATGTTCTGCTGAAATTCTATGTTTTTAATTTTGCCTATAATTACATTCCTCCTGCCTGACTTATAAGTTTGCTCTCTGCAGGATGAATTAGCTAAAGAGTTTTTCAAAGACGGAAGGCACCTTGATGTGGAAGGTGAGTTGGGTATACTTAGAGTTCTTTTTTATCATGCTGAATATGAGTTTCAGTTTTGAACTGCTGGCCAAATTTATTTTCTTATTTCCTTTATTAATTTTGGCACAAATGGTTTAAAGGTTGGACCCTCTACAATGTGTCATTCATGGAATTTTGAACTATTATTATAATAGAAAAAAGAAAATATTGAGTTCCAAATTTGTTGTTGGTATATGTGATCGCAGCTACCATTTCTTTTCCAGCAGTCTACAGAAGTTTATTGTTTTAATTGTATGGTTGAAACTTGACTGATGTTCGAGGTGAGGGAATTCAGGTGTATTGGATGGTTTGGACCTGAATTGAGTTACATGCAAGCAATTAACTAGAGGATTGTATAGACCAAATACTACTTGATTAGGGGATTTTTCCCTACCAATCATCAGCTGACAAGTGGACCATTCAAGCTCTTCCAAGTGTCCGCCACATGGACCAATTGGAGCCTGCCACATGTCAAGTGTTGATCAGTCCACCTTGGACCTCTTATGCTACGACACGTGGCCTCCCCCATGTCAAATGGGAAAACCGGCCACCTAGGCCCAAAGTCTTGTGGAAGCCCAATCAGCCCTAGGTTGACCTAAACCGAAGACTAGCACGCATCCCAAGGTGATATACGTGTTTTATACAATGGTTTTCCCCGGTTTTACTTAGTAATTTTATATGGTTTTGAGCTCTACGGAGCCATTTCTTGCTAACAATCTCTTCTTTAGTGTATTCGATTGTTTTAGTAAGCTTTTCAGGAATATGAAGCGTTTCTAGGCAATTGGACGTGTTTTTAGTAGATTCGGAAGAGTTGATAGCCAAGAACTGCAATTTATGTGGAGTGCCCGACCGGGCATGGCTTGCCCGGGCAGACCGGGCAATGAAGAGTTCACAGGAAGAAGCCCAATTCTGAACGGTGCAACGCGCGCCCGATCGGGCAGGCTTCGCCCGGTCAGACCGGGCGATGAAGAAGTCAAGTTATGAAGATGCAATTCTGGAAACGTGTTACGCGCGCCCGACCGGGCGAGGTTCGCCCGGTCTGACCGGGCAAAGAAGGAAAACTGTCGTATTTTACGCAGCTTTCCTCCGCCCGATCGGGCGAGGTTTGCCCGGTCTGACCGGGCGATGTTCAAGATTGCGCGATTTCAGCTATTTCCGAATTTCTATCTTTTGAGGGTATAAATACCCTTTTGTAATTAACTTTTAAGGAGAGTTTTTCATTAGTTTTTCTCCTTAAGCCCTAGAAAACTCTCAAGAACCCTAGTTTTATTTCCTTTAAGCAATTTCAATCTTTTAATCCCAGATTAATCAATTGTTCATCAACAATTTGAGTTCTTTCAATTGGAGTAATTGGTATTTATCTTACTTCACTCTTTTCTGATATTCACTGTTCTCTAAATATGTTTTCTTTACTGTTTCTTGTTTTTGAACTTGATTTTGATTTTATTATGATGTGTGAGTAGTTTCCTTAATCCGGGATCTTGCTAAGCCCGATTATGATTGATGTATAAAGTAGATCTTTAAATTCCCCAATAATAATCCCAATTGACATGCTTAATTGATTGTGTTTATGCCAATACTAGATTAGGAATAATTAGTATTGTTATCATCCCTTTGTTCTTATTGCAACGGAAGTTGGATATTAACGGGATTAGGTTATTCCAATTAAGGGTTTGAAGATCATCACGGAAGTAGATGATTGAATAATTAGGAATCTAGGCATGGTGTTTAATGTCCCTTATTCGCTTGATTCCACGGAAGTAGGCTTGATAGTTAATTTGGGAAGCCATTGATAACTTGGAAGAGACCTTTGGTATTATTATTAGGGATTGCTTTTCTTCTTGTCAATTGATTTATATATTGGGGGTAGATTTATTAGTTTATCAATCATAATCGTGGTAATGCTTGATCTTGGATGCTTTAGTTTATTGATTAATATTTCCTCTAGTTAATTGTGTTATTTAATATATTAGTTGATTATTATCATCCATTATTGATTGGTGACGTGCTTAGTGATTAATTGAGTCTGATTAATTGAATGAACCATAGTCTCTTGGGATTCGATCCTTACTTGCCCTACTACACAGTTAGAAGGAATAGTTAGGTTATTTTTGTTAGGTACGCGATAAGCCTATCAAATTTTTGGCGCCGTTGCCGGGGACTAACGGTTTCATATTGATTTTCCGTGATTCGTTTTTACTAAGCGTTGTTTGTTGCTTCGGCTATTGCCTCCTGTGTTTTTGATGTTCTTTGCCTAGTTCTTTGTTGTATGCAAACACGTCGCTCAGGGTCAGACGACTTAGTGCCTCTCGATTCAGAAATTGAAGCGACTGCAAGAAGACGAAGAAGTAGAAGAAGAGCAGGTAACAGAAATATGGAAGACCAAGCAACAAAGTCTCTTTTGGAGTACGGTATCCCTGACACAACAACCGGACTCCTTTCTAGCATTGTTAGACCACCTATCACCGCTCAGAATTTTGAATTGAAACCGCAGTTTATTCAATTCATATCCAATGATTCATTTGCTGGCACACCTCTTGATTGCCCAGTGAATCATATAGATGGTTTCTTGGAAAAGTGTGACACTATGAAGCTGAATGGTGTTACAGATGATGCTCTTAGACTTCGCCTTTTTCCATTCTCATTACGGGATAGGGCGAAGGAATGGTTAAGAGATGAGGGTTCTGGTTCCTTTGATACATGGGATAAACTAGTAAAAGCTTTTCTGGTCAAGTTCTTGGGACAAGAAAAGACTGCAAGATTAAGGAACGAGCTATCCACTTTCAGGCAATCAGATGAAGAATCCTTATATGACGCATGGAGGAGATTCAAGAGATTACAGAGACAGTGCCCTCATCATGGCATACCTGAATGGATGTTAATCCAAACCTTTTATAACGGTCTAACCCATGAATTCCGGATCTATATCGACGCCGCATCTGGAGGCTCCCTTTTAACTAAAAATCCAACCGAAGCAAAGGAGCTGGTTGAGAAGATGTCAGCCAATGACAACTATCACCCAGGCGGCCGAAATAGTGTCAAGAAAGGAGGTAAATTAGATGTTGATGCTCTAACTCTTTTAACTAGTTCTGTGCAGGCACTTTCAAGCAAGTTCGATAGATTACAAACTGGATCTTCTAATAATGTGCTAGAAACTTGTCAAATGTGTAATACTCAAGGTCACATCGCACCTAATTGCCCACGAAATTCGAATGAGGTATCAATTGAGGAAGCCAATGCCTTCTACAATTCCAACCCTAAAAGACCATACGATCCCCATTCTAATACTTATAATGAAGGTTGGAAGAATCACCCAAATTTCTCATACAAAAACACCCAGGCTCAGCAAAATCCACCTCCGCCCCCACCTCGAAACAACAATTATAATCCACCTGGTTTTCAACCAAGACCACCCCTAGTACAACAACCCATGCAACCTATGCAACCACTCCCTCAAAAATCCAATCTCGAACTAATGATGGAGAACTTCATCAACACCACAAATAATTCCATCCAACAGTTACAAGCCCAGAATAAGCTCATGGAAAATCAAATAAGCCAACTTGCTCATCAAGTCGGCCAATCTTCAAAAACACCAGGTACGTTTCCTGGCCAAACAGAGCAACCACAAAAGGGGCACATGAATGCTGTAATTTTAAGGAGTGGAAAACAGTTGGAAGACCTTCCCGTAAGGGAACCATCAACGATAGATATTGAGGGAATGAGTGAAAAACAGGGGATTTTGCAAAATTCTTCTTCGCCCGGTCAGACCGGGCAATGTCCGCCCGATCGGGCGCGAGAAGCAGTCGACGAAAAACAGGGGACTGTGCGAATTTCTTCTTCGCCCGGTCAGACCGGGCAAGGTCCGCCCGATCGGGCGCAAGAAGAAATTCCAGACAAACAGAAGAACATAAGCAGCTCTTCTTCGCCTGGTCAGACCGGGCAATCACTGCCCGACCGGGCGGGAGATCCAGACAGCCTAATTCCAAGGAATGATGTTCAAGAAAAGCCACGGGAACCGATCCCACCTCTCGCCCCATACATGCCAAGAGTCCCTTTCCCACAGAGGTTAGCCCAGGCTAAGTTAGAGAAAAAGTACGGTAAATTTCTAGACATCCTTAAGAAACTTCACATTAATATACCGTTCTTGGATGCAATTTCTGAAATGCCTTCTTATGCAAAGTTTTTGAAAGACATGCTATCTAACAAGAAGAAGCTTGCAGAGAATGCTACTGTTTCTCTAACTGCAGAATGTAGTGCCATTCTGCAAAACACTCTTCCTAAGAAACTAGGTGATCCAGGCAGCTATTCAATCCCAGTGAAGCTCGGAGATATAGAGATCAATAGAGCGCTATGCGATCTTGGTGCAAGTGTAAGCCTTATGCCGCTCTCCATCTGCGAAAAGCTTCAAATGGGTGAGCTAAAGCCTACAAGGATATCTCTGCAACTTGCAGACAGGTCAGTTAAATTTCCCCTCGGTATACTTGAAGATGTTCCATTGCGAGTTGGTAAATTCTTTATTCCATGTGATTTTGTTGTTATGGAAATGGAAGAAGATGCCCATGTCCCTATTATTCTTGGTAGACCATTCTTAGCTACTGCAGGTGCAATTATTGACATGAAGAATGGGAAAATAACATTTGAAGTAGGGGATGAGAAAATGGAGTATTCATTACTGAATGCTATGGGAAATCCGTCTATGGGTGAGACTATTTGTCAAGTGGATGTCCTCGATGATCTACAACAAGAACAACTTCCCCTGATCAAAAAGGAAGATGCTCTTGAAACGGTGTTGATAGGGAGTATCCATGATGAAGATTGGGAAGTAAGGGAGTACACGAGGCTACTAGAAGACGCAAAAGCTAATCCAATCATCGCTCCAGTCAAGGAAGTCCTTAGTACATCGAGTGTTGGGGAGAGTTCGACGCCTCCCGAGGTACAGTTGAAACCCCTTCCATCTAATCTTAAATATGCATATCTTGGTCCTAAAAATACATACCCTGTTATTGTTAATGCTGAGCTTAATAACATTGAATTAGAGAAACTTCTCGCTGTTTTAAGAAAATATAGAAATGTTATTGGGTATACCATTGATGATATCAAGGGTATTAATCCCTCTTTTTGTATGCATAAGATCATTCTTGAGGACGATCATGCCTCCTCTAGAGAACCTCAAAGAAGGCTAAATCCAACTATGATGGAGGTAGTCAAGAAAGAGGTTCTCAAATTGCTTGCTGCAGGAATAATCTACCCTATCTCAGATAGTAAGTGGGTTAGTCCTGTACAAGTAGTACCAAAGAAAGGAGGTATGACAGTTGTCAAGAATGACAAAGGCGAGCCTGTTGCCACAAGAACTGTTACAGGGTGGCGGATGTGCATTGATTACAGAAAATTAAATAAAGCCACCCGTAAAGATCATTTCCCCTTGCCTTTCATTGATCAAATGCTCGAACGATTGGCTAACCATTCCTTTTTCTGTTACTTGGATGGATATTCCGGTTTTTTTTCAAATCCCCATCCGCCCTTGTGATCAGGAAAAGACTACATTCACATGTCCATATGGCACCTTCGCATATCGCAGAATGCCATTCGGACTGTGTAATGCCCCAGCCACGTTCCAACGGTGTATGATGGCTATTTTCTCAGGTCTCATAGAAAATTCTATGGAAGTTTTTATGGATGATTTTTCTGTTTATGGTTCAT